AACATGCACTTAGGGTCATAATTGGGGGTCATAATTGTATGTCACTGACCAAGTTCCATAACTCTATCTTGCATTAAGGCTGATTCATATCCCCTTTTCTACTTAGTCTCTTGGTTAATGTTTACAGTCATGCAAGTTTTACATATTTCAATAACTATTAAAGATATTTATTTAAAACTTCACATATGCATTTAGGGTTATAATTGTAGGTCACTGACAAAGATCCATAATTCTATCTTGCATTTAGGCTGATTTTTCTCCCCTTTTTCAACTTAGAAATTCATGGTAAAGTTTTGTTTGTAAGCTGTTATCTCAATAACTACTGAAGGGTTTGTCACTTTGTGCCTTTTTTGGGACAATTTTATGCATTCATAATAATAAAGCAGTGATTTCTTGATAAAACATCTTAATAACAAGCCTTTGTACCTTGTCTGTCAAATTTATTTTTCATAGGTAATTAGTATTATTATATTCAATAAAACACCCTTGTGACATTACCTTCCGAATAGTCAAGCCAATACTGTATAATTAGACTCTCTCTAAGGCCTATAACATGAATTTATAAAAAAAAATTAGCCCTTTTGTGAACTTAAAAAAATTAACATTATCAAGGCTCTTTTACTATCAAGCACTTAGAATAGTCGAGCGTGCTGTCCTTCCGACAGCTCTTGTTTGACCTGTCCTAAACCGATGGCTCAGCGCAATACTGGTCTAACTGCTATTTTTGAAAATGTTCAGGAGAGACAAAAAACTGATTTTATTCAAAAATACTTAAATTAGAAAATATTTATTTGCTATGTTAACATTAATTATAATAAGAAATAATGCCATTTATATAATTTTTTATTAAAGTGTTACAAATTGTGTATTTTAGAGTTAGACCTTTATTGCGCTGAAATTCTGAGCGCAATACAAGACTAACTTGAGTTAGACTCAAATTCCCTCTTGCAATTTGGTAAAAGTGGTACAAATATTTGAGTTAGACCTGTTCTATGTTAAATATTCTGATATAAATTTGAACAAAATTGTTTTGTTAATTTAAACATTGTTTAAAATATTTTGCAAGTCTGTAGAAGAACTTTACAAAGACTAAATCCTTTAATATTTTTCTATTAATATATCATGCTAGCTGACTTTAGATGAATGAACACTTCTATAATTCTTCTTTTTCAATTTGTTTGAGATTCAGATTTACTTAAAATCTTTTGCAGATTATCTGTGCAATAAATTTGAATTCTAAATAAAATGCAAACAGTTTTGATTCATATAGTGTTATGAACAGTAGTCATGAACAATGATGACTGACAATCCAGGTCATCAAAGTTTGAAAACAGGGATTAATGTACATTTTGTATAACTCACATTTGTACAAAGAAGAAACATTTTATTTTCTGAATGTACACCATTACCACCATTGGTGCTTAAATGCTGTGATTCCGATATTACTGTTATGCGCTAAATCTTAATGAATTTAATGTATGTGGTCCTCTTTTCTGATGATATAATCATTTATAAATATCAAATATTTTCAAAAATAAAAGCCGCTGTTAGACCATAATTTTATTACATATTTTGTATTTACTTTCTCAACTGTTTAGAGTATAATTTTGAACATGAAATGTGCAAATTTTATGACATGTTTTGCTGAAAACTGTGCATATCTTAAGAAAAGTGTTTCATTTTATATATCAAAGTCATTTTACCTCTAAATTTTGACCAAATAACAAGAGGTTGTCAAACATATTTTAGAGAAAAAAGTAGGGCAGTACAACCCACTATCAGGGATTAGAACAAAGTATTGTTAGTACAGTCATGATATAATTCAGAATCAATTTTGTAAAGTTAGATGTGCTTTAAACTCTTGCAACCACTTACTCATTCAGATATGAAAAGGCGTACACCTGAAAAGCACCATGTGCACACCATAGATTAATAGCACTAAACAATTAGAATGGATAAATGTTTGAATTTTCTCATTGACACTGATACTATACCAAAATCAGTTGATAGTCATTACATTTTTAATTTCATTAAATGATAGTCATTACATTTTTAATTTCATTAAATTTGATAGGTAAATTAAACAGATCTAAAATGAAACATTTTTATCAACTTATAGCTGTTTCTGCCACATAAGTCAAAGAGTTTTTGACAATTGCACTCTCGAAAATTCAATGGAGCTGTGTGATGTAAAAAATTATCAGAATACAAGAACTGAAAAGGTCATTATAATATATAAGTGTGCATATTTTTAATTTTTTCTGCACATATCACATCAGACAGAAAGATATTGTATCAATAATATAAGTTTTGTGAAGAGTGTGATTCGCACATGTTGACACTATGTTGTTATTGTATTGTTCGAGTTGATAATGTAAAGTTTATATTTCTAACAAGACCCACATTTTTCCCGATTGAACATAGAAGAACCGAAAGTATGTGTTATTATGCTATAAAATCACTGTTTGACGTTCTATATTTAGACGTGTGACATTATCATTATACACGGGACGTAACCACTAAAAATGAGACGCGTTGACAATAAGACCGGAAACAAATCAGGCACAATTTAGCTAAATATCAGGTACGTGTTAATGTCGTGTTAGAATCGAAATAATATATCCAAATCGGTGATTTTATTGCTTGATAACATTACTGTTTGTCGTTCTGATGCGCATCATTATATCACTCGGGCTACGCCCTCGTGATATAATTCCTCGCATCTGAAATCCAAACAGTGATTTTAATGAGCAATAAAATCACAGTTTGGGATATATTATTTCTTAAATAACTTTACTTGATTAAAGAGAGTGATACAGAAGTAGATACATAATTTAAAAATAAAAACCCAAGGACGCCCTCAAACCTGAAATTGGTCATTGTGTTACAGGCTAAGTTTGATTTGGCAGTGAAACAATGAACAGTCTACCCCCTTACACCATCTTAAGAAGAACACATTATATAAATATGAACAAAGTGTAAAATTAAGAATTAGGAAACCTCAGCATATGATTAAACAAAGGTCAAACTAAAAAAAAAAGGAATTTTTAGAGGGGGATCAGAGGTTATGAATCCACTAGTGTAACACGCTTTATTTTCCATTTTAATGTGTGCATGCATGAGAAACATACACTGGCTTTTACTAAATTGTACAAAAATGATAGTTTCAACTACACTTTATTTTATCAAATTATACAGTATGAGTATGATCTAATGACTTCAAAGACAAACTCAAGGTTTAATTGTGACACTAAATTATTATCAATTTTTTTCAAGATTTTTCGTTTACAGTTACTTGTACATGATATGCAATTGGCTAATATTTTGCGATTTATACAAAGGCAAATAATTTCTATTGTTTTCATGAATTCTCAACTTCTTTATAACTCATTTCAATGGGATATGCATATAATTCTCTACCTGGAAATGAAACATTCAAGGTCTAACTCAAGCATTTTGAGGAAAATTGATATATTAGACATCGCAATAAGAGACCAACTCAAGTTAAACCTATACTGCATTGACAAAATTGAACTACCTGAGATAGACTTTTATTTTAAATGTAAATAAAAAAGGCAAAAAAAGCATAAATTACCCTAAAATTTTCACAGAATGTGTATTTGACCTTACATTATCAAAATATGTAAAAAGGTGATTTTTGGTAAAAATGTCACTTAGACCAGTATTGCGCTGAGCCATCGAAACAAAGTTTGGTTTAAAATTTTGAACCGTCCTAAACAAAGTTTGGTTTAATATTTTGACCCGTCCTAAACAAAGTTTGGTTTAAATTTTGATCTGTCCTAATCAAAGTTTGGTTCAAAGACCTAACAATTAACCTTTGTACTACAAAAATTATTTATGAAAAATAGAAACTGGTACTTCTTGAGGTATGAAAGCATGTGTCTTTTTTACCCCACAACAGTACTTCAATTTTCATATAAATATAAGCATCAAATAAATCTGTGATTAATTGTTTCGTCCAGATATGGGTTTGTCTATTAAAGATGTTGGTTTGAAGTATGGATAGTAAAAATAAATAAATAATAAACTAAAATCAATTATTGATATGCATAATAGAAAACTGAATATAAAGGGAGGTAATAAAAATGTACAAAAGTTTAATTTTATTCCAAACAGAGAGGTATATTTATTAGTCTTAGGAATAAAACTTTAATTTAACATACTGTGTAATGGCAGGTGTGTTTTAGATAAATATGTACACTTCTTTAAACTTGCACTAAAGTTATAATATTTAGTTTATATATATATTTTGTCTACTTTTTATGAACATAACAATTAAAAGCAAAGATTATACTAACTATTTTTGACACCCATTATATAATGGGCAAGAACCTATGACTGTCAGATAAAGCTTAGGCCTGGGAAAAATGTGAAACATGTAACTCGGGGCTGGGTGGTGAATGTCATTTATCTTTGTGATTGGACATCAAATCCTCTCTAACTGAACCTGTGAAATAGCATGTACAGAAGTTATCAGTTCCAGGCAACTGAACTGGTTTTAGTAAAGTACTTGATAGGCCAGTTCAAAGAACGATGTGTTGGCTGAACTGTGCTCTGATTATTTCAATGTGGTTACTCACAGATGTGATCTGGGGGTAAAAACTACCAAAAACACCACGACTTGTCAATTAAGCTTACTGTTTAGGTTCTGTCCATAAAATTTTAATGGTAAAACATTATCCGATCAAAATGCATGCACATATTGTTTTTTCTAATGGTGTATGTAATGGTCTATGTGTGATAATTACTCACCTTCTGCACTGGTGTGATTTAGTTTTAGAATGATAACACATTTTGTATTTTCAGAATGATAATATATGTATATTGCCAGATCTTTTTTCCCCCAGAATGATGACACTCAGATAAAATGTGGCAAACATTTTTTTTTTACTATCATGCTAGGTAAAAGGCATCTCTTCAGTCTTTTTTTTTTTTTTTGTTATTTTGGTTCTCAAATTTATGACGTTTTTAATTTACAGGCCCAAAAGTTCATGAATGATGCCAAAGAGAAGGCAAAAAGAGCAAATGAGTTACAGGCACAGATACAGGCACGAATGGCCAGTCTAACTGGACTACCCGCACCTATGAAGGGAATGCCGCCCGTCAAATCATTAGGCGAGAAAGCTGTCGAAGCTCAGACGTAAGTTTTGCCTTGAATTGTTGCCTCGCCTTTTCGAAGGAAAAAGGGGGATATAGAACTAGTTTTTTTTTTGTATTTCTTAAAGACTCGTAGGCTCCTTTGAAAAATTGTATGTAATCCTATTTACGCAATTTTGTTGAATTCCGAAAGGCCTTTTTCAACCCCTGGAATAATGCATGTTTTCTTATTTACCCGTAAATTTTGTTGAATTTCTTAAAGACCCATTAAGCCCCTGGAAGAATGTATGTTTTTGTGTCGCCTTGAAAAGGTGACATATAGGGGTTACTTTTGTCGGCGGTGTCGGCGGCGTCTGTGTCGTTGTCTGTGTCGTTGTCGGCGTCCCCTAAAGCTTGTCCGGAGCATAACTCAGTCACTATAAGTCTGATTGACTTCAAACTTGGTATGCATGCTTCTTTCAATAACCCGAAGTGCAGTGCACAGGGACCGGTACTCTGCAGTTCTTATTTTTTGAGTTATTGCCCTTTGTTAATTTTCATACTTTAATTTTGTCCGGGCCATTTCTTTTCAACTAAAAAAGCTATGGACTTGAAACTTCATAGGATGATAGATCTCATTAAGAAGAAGTGCAGTGCACAAGAACCGGTACTCTGCACTTCCTAATTTTTGAGTTATTGACCTTTGTTAATTTTCATGCTTTATTTTTGTCCGGGCCATTTCTCCTAATGTATAAAAGCCATAGACTTGAAACTTCATAGGATGATAGGTCTCATTAAGAAGAAGTGCAGTGCACAAGGACAGGTACTCTGCATTTCTTATTTTTTGAGTTATTGCCCTTTGTTGATTTTCTTACTTTATTTTTGTCCTGGTCATTTCTCCTCAAGTATGAAAGCTATGGACTTGAAACATCATAGAATGATTGATCTTATTGATAAGAAGTACAGTGCACAGAAGCTGCTGCTCTGCACTTATTATTTTTTTAGTTATTGCCCTTTGTTATTTTTCCTATTTCATTTTTGTCCTGGCCATTTCTCCTAAACTACATTGTTCACAAGGCGACACATCCGACTCGCGGAGTTCTAGTTTATATTTACCCTTGATTTTCCAAAAAGTTACTAGTCGGCCATATAAATGAAATATATATCAATTGCTTCTTTTGCAATTTAAGCAGTTGGTATTATTTGGTGGTCTGGTATTTTGTAAGGGAGACAAATTTTTCTGTGAACCCAGCTTCTACATTTGTAGAAGGATAAATGAATATGTCAACATGGAAACTCAGGCATATGTCTTTAAGCAGAAACTTTCTTGGAACTATTTTTCACCCAAGTTCCTATGGCACATGATATATTTTGTAATTATACCCCCGCACAACAAAGTTGTAAGGTGGGTATACTGGAATCAGATTGTCCGTCCGGCCGGCGTCCGTCGGTTTTTTCTTGTCCGCCCAATAACTTAAGATTCCTTTGACCAACAGTCTTCATATTTGGCATGGAGGTTAGTCGTGATTAGTAGATGACCCCTATTGATTTTGTGGTCAAAGGTCAAGGTCACAGGGGCCTTGACTTCAAAAAGCTTGTCCGCCCAATAACTTAAGATTCCTTTGACCCACAGTCTTCATATTTGGCATGGAGGTTAGTCATGATAAGTAGATGACCCCTATTGATTTTGAGGTCACCAGGTCAAAGGTCAAGGTCACAGGGGCCTTGACTTCAAAAAGCTTGTCCGCCCAATAACTTAAGATTCCTTTGACCCACAGTCTTCATATTTGGCATGGAGGTTAGTCATGATTAGTAGATGACCCCTATTGATTTTGAGGTCACCAGGTCAAAGTTCAAGGTCACAGGGGCCTTGACATCAAAAAGCTTGTCCACCCAATAACTTAAGATTCCTTTGACCCACAGTCTTCATATTTGTCATAGAGGTTAGTCATGATAAGTAGATGACCCTTATTGATTTTCAGGTCAAAGTCACAGGGGCCTTGACTTCAAAAAGTTTGTCGGCCCAATAACTTAAGATTCTTATGACCCACAGTCTTCATATTTGGCATGGAGGTTAGTCGTGATTAGTAGATGACCCCTATCGATTTTGAGGTCACCAGGCCAAAGGTAAAGGCCACAGGGGCCTTGACTTCAAAAAGCTTGTCCGCTCAATAACTTAAGATTCCTTTGACCCACAGTCTTCATATTTGGCATGGAGGTTAGTCGTGATAAGTAGATGACCCCTATCGATTTTGAGGTCACCAGGTCAAAGGTCAAGGTCGCAGGGGCCTTGACTTCAAAAAGCTTGTCCACCCAATAACTTAAGATTCCTTTGACCCACAATCTTCATATTTGGCATGGAGGTTAGTCATGATTAGTAGATGACCCCTATTTATTTTGAGGTCACCAGGTCAAAGGTCAAGGTCACAGGGGCCTTGACTTCAAAAAGCTTGTCCGCCCAATAACTTAAGATTCCTATGACCCACAGTCTTCATATTTGGCATGGAGGTTAGTCGTGATAAGTAGATGACCCCTATCGATTTTGAGGTCACCAGGCCAAAGGTCAAGGCCACAGGGGCCTTGACTTCAAAAAGCTTGTCCGCCCAATAACTTAAGATTCCTTTGACCCACAGTCTTCATATTTGGCATGGAGGTTAGTCGTGATAAGTAGATGACCCCTATCGATTTTGAGGTCAACAGGCCAAAGGTCAAGGCCACAGGGGCCTTGACTTCAAAAAGCTTGTCCGCCCAATAACTTAAGATTCCTACGACCCACAGTCTTCATATTTGGCATGGAGGTTAGTCGTGATAAGTAGATGACCCCTATCGATTTTGAGGTCACCAGGTCAAAGGTCAAGGTCACAGGGGCCTTGAAATCAAAAAGCTTTTCCACCCAATAACTTAAGATTCCTACGACCCACAGTCTTCATATTTGGCATGGAGGTTAGTCGTGATTAGTAGATGACCCCTATCGATTTTGAGGTCACCGGGTCAAAGGTCAAGGTCACAGGGGCCTTGACTTCATAAAGCTTGTCCGCCCAATAACTTAAGATTCCTTTGACCCACAGTCTTCATATTTGGCATGGAGGTTAGTCGTGATAAGTAGATGACCCCTATCGATTTTGAGGTCACCAGACCAAAGATCAAGTCACAGGGGCCTTGACTTCAAAAAGCTTGTCCGCCCAATAACTTAAGATTCCTTTGACCCACAGTGTTCATATTTGGCATGGAGGTTAGTCGTGATTAGTAGATGACCCCTATTGATTTTGAGGTCACCAGGTCAAAGGTCAATGTCACAGGGGCCTTGACTTCAAAAAGCTTGTCCGCCCAATAACTTAAGGTTCCTATGACCCACAGTCTTCATATTTGGCATGGAGGTTAGTCATGATTAGTAAATGATCCGTATTGATTTTGAGGTCACTGGGTTAAAGGTCAAGGTCACAGGGACCTTGTCAAAATAAAGCTTTTCCCCTCAATTGCTTCAGAATGCCTGTCCAGAGTGTATTGATTTTGACATTTTTACATTTGAAGCATGTAGAATACATAACTTAGCAATGCACTGGCTTAGTCACCTCAGATTTGGCAGGGAGGTTGTCCTTGAGTTCTAAATGGCCACTGTTGATTCTGACAAAGTGGTATGCGGGGGTATTCACGCCATGATAGTGGCAGTTCTAGTTTTGATAATATTTTATGACAGAGTTATTGGAAATTTGATTTGTTTACATTTGCATTTTGTTTGTCAGAAAACTTGTGTTTATTTTGTAATTTTGTTGATTATTTTGTACATTGTTGGTCTTTCTACTCTAACAATCCTTTTATATTTTGTTCTTCCAGAAAATCGACTCCATCTTCAAAGTAAGTATGAATTTAATTTATGATGAAAGATTATGTAGCAATTTTTAGTTTTTGAAAAATTCCATTTGAAAATTTTACTATAAAATTGTTATTTATTTTAGTTCTTTTGAGTTACACTTTCAGAGCTATTGATGAATTAAGCTTAAAATTAAATTTTAACTTGGCTATTGGTAGAACAAAGAGAGCTATTGCACTGATCCTTAGGGTCAGTGTAACTGTTTTAAATTTTTTCACGCAATTTAAATATCTTGAAATCTAAGGAAGGGAGAATATTGAAACTTCACACACACACACTGTTCTCTGTGAATATTTAACATGATGTACTTAGGTTCCATAACTCTTTACCTCTTTTTAGCTCACCTGTCACAAAGTGACAGGGTGAGCTTTTGTGATCGCTTTTCGTCCGGCGTCCGTCCGTCCGTAAACTTTTACTTTAAATGACATCTCCTCATAAACCACTAAGCCAATTTCATCCAAACTTCACAGGAATGTTCCTTTGGTGGTAACCTTTAAAACTTGTTCAAAGAATTTAATTCCATGCAGAACTCTGGTTGCCATGGCAACCGAAAGAAAAAACTTTAAATATCTTCTTTTAAAAAACCATAAGAGCTACAGCTTAGATATTTGGCATGAAACATTTTCTAGTGAGTGTCTACCAAGTTTGTTCAAATAAAAGCCCTGGGGTCAAAATTGGCCCCGCCCCGGGGGGTCATTGATTTTCCCTATATGCATATAGTAAAAACTTAAAAAATCTTCTTTTAAAGAACTCAAAGAGCTAGAGCTAAGATATTTAGCATCAAACATGTTCTAATAGGTGTCTACCAGGTTTGTTCGAAAAAAAGCCCTGGGGTCAAAATTGGCACCGCCCCGGGGGTTATTGATTTTCCTTACATGTGTATAGCAAAAACTTAAAAAAATCTTCTTTGAAAAAACCCAAATAGCTAGAGTTAAGATTTTAAGCATGAAACATCTTTTAGTGAGTGTCTACAAAGTTTGGTCAAATAAAAGACCTGGGGTCAAAATTGGCCCCGCCCGGGGGGTCATTGATTTTCTTTATATGTGTATAGCAAAAACTTAAAATCTTCTTTGAAAAAACCCAAAAAGCTAGAGTTTAGATATTAAGCATGAAACATCTTTTAGTGAGTGTCTACAAAGTTTGGTCAAATAAAAGACCTGGGGTAAAAATTGGCCCCGCCCGGGGGGTCATTGATTTTCTTTATATGTGTATAGCAAAAACTTAAAATCTTCTTTGAAAAAACCCAAAAAGCTAGAGTTTAGATATTAAGCATGAAACATCTTCTAGTAAGTGTCTATAAAGTTTGTTCAAATAAAAGCCCTGGGGTCAAAACTGGCCCGGCCCCAGGGGTGTCATTGTTTCTAACTATGTGTGTATAGTAAAAACTTAAAAAAATCTTCTTTTAAAAAGCCCAATGAGCTAGAGCTTAGATGTTTAGCATGAAACATCTTCTTATGGGTGTCTACCGAGTTTGTGCAAATAAAAGCCCTTGGGTTAAATTGGCCCTGTAACGTTGGGGGTATGGGGGAAGGTTGGGGGGGGGGGCTATATACAGATGAGCCACCTCAGGGCCATCATGGCCCTCTTGTTTACAGAATTTTACGGAAAGTCGTTTCTTTCTTTTTTTTCAGTCCGACACCACTGATTTTGGACAGCGAGGGGCGAACCATTGATGCAAAGACTGGGCAAGCCATAACCCTGACCCATCATGCTCCCACCTTAAAGGTACAGCTAGTTTTGAGGATTTTCATTGGTCAATATTCATGGTCAATATGACTCATGCTGGTTTCTGACCAATCAAATACATTGTAATATGTTAAAGTTACGGCAAAACTTTTAATCAGTCTTGATGTTATAAATAAGGAGTGTCACAGTTAGAAAAGTTAATGTTAACTGTTTAAATGGAAACCAGATAACCGTGTTAACGTTTAACAGACCTTACTAATAAAATCCTTAGATTTTCAACCTTTACTTAGTTTCTTTATGGTCACATTTTCTCGTACTCAAAAATGATTACAATATATATCAGAATATGGAGTGACTATTTTCTATAAGGGTGATACTTGTAGGTACTGTTTAGAAATCAGTTTAAAACATTTTCTTCTCTTTTTCAAATACTAACTTCAATTACCATTTTATTGAATTTTCTAACCGGTTTTTAGAAAAAAACGGACGGCACCTTTTTCAGGGATAAACAATTTAAATCTTCTTTTCGGAGCTCCGTATTGAATTTTTATGCCACCGCACCATCTGCGATGCGGTGGCATATAGCGATTCACCTGTGTGTGTTAGTGTGTGTGTTTGTGTGTGTGTTATATAGATTATATAGTGAACTTAAAAAATCTTCTTGTGAAAAACCACTAGTCCAATTTCAACCAAACTTGGCAGGCTTGTTCCTTGGGTGAAGGACTTTTAAAGTTGTTCAAAGAATTTCATTCCATGCAGAAATCTGGTTGCCATGGCAACCAAAAGGAATTATGAGAATAAATTTAAAAAATCTTCTTGTAAAGACCCAAAAGGCCTAGAGCTTAGATATTTTGCATAAGGCATTGTCGCGTAGACCTCTAACAAGATTGTTCAAATTATAGCCCTGGGGTCAAAATTGGCTCCGCCCCGGGGTCATTGATTTTCACTATATGTGCATATAGTAAAAATTAAAAACACCTTGTAAAGACCCAAAAGGCATCTAGCTTAGATATTTTGCATAAGGCATTGTCTGGTAGACCTCTACCCAGATTGTTCAAATTATAGCCCTTGGGGTCAAATTCGGCCCCGCCCCGGGGGTCATTGGTTTTCCTTATATGTATATAGTAAAAACTTTAAAAAAGATTCTTCTAGCAATTGACAAATACTAGAGGTTAGATATTAGATATTTTGCATGAAACGTTGTGTAGTAAACCTCTAGCAAGATTGTTCAAATTATAGCCCTGGAGTCAAATCGCCCCCGCCCTGGGGGTCATTGATTTCAATATATACATATAGTAAAAAATCAAAAAATCTTTTTGTCTGAAGGTACCAGGCTTAGAGCTTTAATATTTGTTAAATAATATTATCTAAAGGTAATCTACCAAAGTTGTTCAAATTTTGCTTCTTGTGTCAAAATTAGCCCCACCCCCGGGGGCCATAGGTTTTCCTTATATGTATATGGTAAAAACTTAAAAAATCATCTTCTCTAAATTTACAAAGGCTAGAGTTAAGATATTTTGCATGAAACATTGTGTAGTGAACCTCTAGCAAGATTGTTCAAATTATAGCCCTGGGGTCAAAATTGGTTCCGTCCGGGGGGTCATTGATTTTCATTATGTACATATAGTGAAAAAATAAAAATATTTTTGTGTGAAGGTACAAGGCATAGAGCTTTGATGTTTGATATATAATATCATTTAAAGGTCCTCTACCAAAGTTGTTCAAATTTTTCCCCTGGTGTCAAAATTGGCCCTGCCCGGGGGCAATGATTCTCATTATGTACACATAGTAAAAACAGAAAATAAAACAAATGTTTTCTGAATGGGAGAAAGCTATAGCTTAGATATTTGACTTGAAATGTTGTTTGGTGGACCTGTATCAAGATTGTTTTGAATTAAAACCTTGGGTCGAAATTATGCCTTGCACGAGGGGACAATGACGTACTTTCTTGTCCTTTGATGTACAGCAGTGACATTTTGACCATGTGCACAGTTTTAGTTGTAAAATTGAACTTTGATATCAGGTGACCAGATTTTGATGATGTGACCTACTTTCTTTTCCATGAACAGCTATGAAATTTGAACCATGCGGTGGCATAGCATTTTTCTCAAATGCAATCTTGTTTAAGATTTGCATTGGTCAATATACATGTACCTCGTTTGCTGGTTTCATACCAGATACATGTATGTACCTTGTACCAGTTATTGAAGGTGATTGCACGTAAGTGACAAAGAAAAGCTGGATTAGGGAAATAACAGCTGAGTTGTACTGTAAAATCATTTAAATTTGAGGGCATACATTTTTGTGGTTTGCTAGTATCCAAAATTGAGTAAAATTGGGACACGTAAAAGCCAGACAAACAAAGCAAACTTTAATTTTAATTGACCTCGCACATTGACATTACATATTATGGTCTAGCACTATTATTCATTTAATTACCTTAATAACAAGTAATAATACATTATATACATTTAATACACAAAGAAATGTTGAATTATTATATGAATTTACCTTGAAAACAAGCAAAACTTGTCATTTATTTCTTAATTTATTGTTATTATATCTTTTTATAGGCAAACATTCGAGCTAAAAGACGAGAACAGTTTAAAGGTTTAATAGACGCACCACCGGAAGAGATCAGCGCATCCAAATATTTTGATCCTCGTGTTAGGTAAGATCTGGTCTTTAAAACTGGAACATTTTAATTTCTAAAAATAAAATAAGGACAAAAAAATGTGCATTAAATAGGGAAATACAGAGTGATATGTAATTATTTTGCCAAGGGGAGGAACTCAATTAACAGTGGAGATTGAAACTATGTAGGCTATTTCCCTTTGCTGAGGAAAACCCAACTATGGGTACTGGAGTCAGTTTGTCCTTGCCAATATTTCTGTACCTGTTATCTTATGAATGATACTCTTCCTACAATACACAATGGATTAAATAAGAAAAAAAATATAATGCTGCGGCAGTTTTTACTAGCATGACTGGAAGCTATTTAACCTTAGGAAAAAAATCTCAACAAGAAACAGAAGTAAGGGCTTTTTTTACAGATTGGGGAAGCAGCGCTGCCCTTAATTTTGGGGGAAAATTACACGGTATATTTGCATAAGGGGATGAAAAAACTTGATGCAAGTTCAAATTTGGGGGAAAAACTGGATGATTTTAAAGAATTTTTCTTTGGGGAAGCAGCCCTTTAACAGCCCCTGCTATAGAAGGAATAAAAGCCCTGGAATTATGACTTCTTGAATAAATATTTTTTTGTGTGCAAAACAAGGTTGTATAAAATAAGTTGTGTATGGATTATGAATGCTTACTTTTCCTACTATACTTGAATTTTTCATTAAAAAATCTTGTGATAACCATTTGTAGCCTTTTACAAAAGTTTTAACTCCTCCCCAGTTTAAGTAAGATTCATTTTAACAGTTGTAACACCTTGAATGCTAGCATATTTTCCCAAATTGGCAAATTTTACGATAACTTTATTCCAAAATTGGAAAAATTTACGGCACAAATTTCCCAAATTTGCTATGTGGTGTTTTCCCAAAATAGACTAGAGGAAGAAAGGCCTTACATGGCAAATGTGGGTTTTTCCATGCTAATCTGTACAAACTATCTTTTACCGTTATTATGTTTCACAGTGCACTACCCGTCACAATAGATTAATCAACCTGTTTTGCTTATTTTCGAGGCTTTAACTGTAAAAGTATGTTTGTACCTACGTTATTAGCTGGGAAAAACCCAAATATTCTTAATTCCCGAGTTAGTCTATTCACATAAAGAAGTTTTGTGATCAAATTAATTCAATTTGTCAAATCCTGGTTTTGTTTTACTTATTTTCTCAAATTTGAATGTTTTGTATTTTCCAAAGTTTTTAAATTTTTGGAAGATTTGTGATACTCGTCTTTAGCCATGTGTCTTTTAGTTACAAAATTTATTGTTCAAAATTTTAATGTTTATCATATAACAGTTTAATGGGTGCGCAGAGGCAAAAACGAGGCTTCCGTTTCCATGAAAGAGGAAAGTTTGAACAACTAGCACAGAGATTGAGGACAAAGGTGAGTTTCCACAGCTCTCATTGTGACCATTACATTAATGACTTGTTTTATGAACAATACAGTAATGTTTTTCAATAGGCTTTATTATGAACTTTACAGTAATTGCTTTCAATGGCTTCTATTATAAACACGACAGTATTGGCTTTTCATAGCTTTTATTATGAACATTACAGTAATGGCTTTTGATTGCTGAGAGGTAAAGGTCATTGGCATAAAACCAATTGCCCCTAACCACTGTATTTGAGGAAGCTGTCCAGCTAGCTTACAGAAGATTGATGGTTCTACTCAAGTGCCCGTTTGTACGTCGCCATATGACCTATACTGTATTTGTGTTACCTAAAGCGCTATTAAAGAAATAAACTTGATTTATGAATATTATAGTAATGGCTGTCCATAGCTTTAATAATGAATATATCAATAATTGATTTCTATATGACTTTCCATAGCTTTTATTTAAATGCATTCATTTGATAGCAGTGGTTTATTTTATGTAACTTAGATTTTTACTGACTCTGAGTTAGATTTTTACTTAACTAAATGTTTGAAACTCCCTTTAATAGAAGAGTGGCAAGATAAGAAATAAAATTCCAAATATTTTTCAAAGGTCACCCATCATAAAAGTTAAAGTAACTGATACTATATTTAGTAACAAAATGGCATAATGATGATGTAATGTTCTGAAAATAATGATGCAATGTTCTAAAAATAGGCACAACTAGACAGACTTCAGAGTGAGATTAGTCATGCTGCCAAGAAAACTGGGATTGCGTCTGCTGCGAAACTCGCAACCATAGCACCGAAGAAGGAACTGGTATGTCTTAATTTTTTAATTTTTTATATTGTGATAAAGGTTTAAGTGAATAGTTCTTTGTGTTACATTATGTTGAAAATGGAAAAGTGGAATTATGTTCGTAAAAAAAAAGTAATTACATTCATGACTTAAAGTGGAATTATGATCACGACTAAAATGGAATTATGTTCAAGACCAAAGTTGAACCCATGTTCATTGGTTTAGAGGCAAACACATTACCATAATTCTTTCGTGTTGAATTATGTTCGCGAAAAAGTGGTATTATGTTTACGACAAATGTGGAACCCATGTTAGTTTCTTGAGAGACAGGCACTTAAATCGATAGGCCTCATGTCCTGTCTTCTTGACACTTGTTAAAATAAGACATATTCAGTAAATATTTCATAGATTTAAAGGGGTATCAAGGATAGCTACTAAAAACTTTGGTGACTATTTAAACAGTGACATAAAAAAAAACATGTTAAATGTTTAAGTGACCGTACAGAGGAACTCTTAAATTTTGAAATTATGACAAGAGAAGTACAAGAAGTAAAAAAAGGTATTAAATAAAAGCATCATTAAACTTCTATGATTATTTTTCTATTACATGTACTAACCTTGATAACTGTAGAGATGTTTTCTGTTCCTGTTTTGAGGCAGGCAAATTGATACCTGTATAAATACACTGCAGGTAATCATTGTTAAGATTGTCAGGGTAAATATAACACATCACATCACATTACCAAAATGAGCTAATATAATAAGTATTTTTGCATTGGAAGTAGATGGGGTTCAAACTTAGATGACTTTAAGTCTAACACTATAACCACTGTACAACTTTTCAAGTTCTATTGATACTTTTAACTTGCTTTTGTTATTTTTGTAGGTTGAAGGTGAAAATCCAGACATAGAATGGTGGGACGCCTATATTTTGAGACAAATTGATTCGTAAGCTATTCAAATTGTTCTTTATTTTCTTTGTGCACATTATAACATAATTAATTTATTTAGTGGTTATGGTATATTTGGCCTTTCATAATTAAGAAATAAAAGTTGTTAATCAAGTACTGAGTGTGTGTGATGGATAAATCAATTAGATAATAGACTTTCAGTTAGATGCCCATAATATTTTTAAAGTTCTTTGATTGTGTCAATAATTATACAGCAACTGTTGAACTTCATTCGCTCAAACTTAGATTGTTTGAATACATCCATTCACTCGAAGTCATCACCCAGTCCTGGCAAAATTCCTATATAATATATATTGTTCTACCTGCGATCACTCGAACACTGATCGCTCGAACCTGATTTCTGGGCCCTCCAGCACAAATATAGTGAAAATCACACCTTTGGCAGAAATATAGTGAAAATCACACCTCTGGCAGAAATATAGTGAAAATCACACTTCCCACCACAGGGTATCCGAACAAAGTTTGACTGTTTGTTGTTCCTCCTACATGTATGCTGTTGAACCAGTCCCTTGAGGATGGGGACACTTTTTTAGGGTTTTTAAGTGGATCCCTGCTGACTATTAATTTCTGATTATTTCTTAATCGATATCTGCTCAGCTCAATTGTCATTGAGTTTTGCCACATAAAATAATGATGCAACTTAATACTAATTAGATCTATAGTATGTAAAATGAAAATAAGTTTATATCTATTGTGAAGGTATGATGCTCTTTCGGAGAATGAGGATTTGAAGGCCCGATTGGAGGGTGTAACTCATCTTGTGGAGCATCCAATTCAAATGAAACCTCCAGGTAAATTTTTAGCATAGATTCTTTAAAAGATGAAATTATCCGTCTGTTAGGCTAAAGTCTTAAACCAGTCTGTTGTTATTTAGAAGGTGAATATATCAGAAAGTTTGTAAAATATTCAGTAACCAGTCTATTTTTTGTTTATTTACCTAAAATTAGTCTATTTATAAAAGTTATGTTCAAAACCAGTATGATTTTGTTGAAAGGGCTTGAACCAGGCTTTTATTACTTTGAATTAATTTTTATATGAAATTGTTTAACCAGTCTAAAAATTTCTTTATTTAGCCGAGCCAGATAAGCCCCCGGCTGTTCCTGTGTATCTGACTGCTGCAGAACGAAAAAAATTACGGCGACAAAACAGGACAGAGGCTCAGAAAGAACTTCAGGAGAAAATACGACTTGGTTTAGCCCCGCCTATGGAACCCAAAGGTTTGATTTTGTCATTGTGTTATTATGCTAAATTGATTTGTTTTTCTTCTTAACCATTCATTTTCTTATCTTTTTACTTTTAAACTTTTGCAAAAGATTAAATTTAGTGAGTTAAAGAGTGCCTTGAAAATAAATGTTAGTGAAATATATAAGAATCATAAATTATGAATTCAACATAACTGAAAGTGAAAATGGAAATAATTTAACTTTTCTGAATGAATTTATCTTCTGAAAGTTTGATATTCTTCATTTTGTTACAGTATGTGTGTATTTAAAACTTTTATCTGAAACACAAACTTTTTCAGTGAGAATGGCGAACCTGATGCGGGTGCTTGGTTCAGAGGCCGTTCAGGATCCTACTAAGGTTGAAGCCCATGTTCGAGCACAGATGGCCAAAAGACAAAAGTAAGACTCCCTACCCTTTAGCTTTTTTTGCTGCTCTCTAATTTGTTTTAGCTCATTGCACACAATCATAATTGAAGAATAGGGAGAGCTGTTGTATTCATGTTGACATTGACGTCTCACTTTGGTTAAGTTTTTGCAAGTTGGTATCTCCAAAATCTGGGGCATCAGTGGCCGAGTGGTAAAGGTCATTGACTTCAAACCACTTGCCCCTCACCGCTGTGGGTTCGAATCCCAACAGGGACTTTGGATTCTCTAATGTGAGCAAGCTAGCTTCCAGAACGTCGGTGGTTCTACTCAGGTACCCATTCGTGCCTGAAATAATGCACGGAAGGGCACCTGACATCTTCCTCAGCTATAAATGTTTACAAATAGTTAACAAGATGCC